CACGTCACCGTTTGAGTCACGGATCAGATCGTTATCAATATTTGAAGCCGTCTAATGGAAACCTGATTGTGCACTCAATCTCTCATTTTAGGCACATCTAAGCCTAGTATGATTATAACAACAATCGCGCCCGCGTCAGGGCCGCCACCCCAAAAGGGGGCGTGGTGGAGGTAGGGTGGTGGGGGTGGTGGAGGTGGGGGCGGGGACAATGGTTCCAACGAGGGGACTGGGGCTGGTGCCCCGGAGCAAGAGCCTCAACAGCACCAGCAGTCGGAGCCGCAGCAGCAGCAGCAGCAGTCGTGGGGCCGCCCGGCCCGGTGCCTCTAGTGGTGGTGGTCGCATTGGTGGTGCGCGCAGCTCGGCGTTGGGAGGCAGCTCCAGCACTACGGGGACCGACGCCGGGATTCGTCATGGCGGCGCGCTACCTCCAGTAGTACATGCCTCGGCATCAGTGCCGATTGTGGGAGTTACGTGTTACCTCTCCCTTTGATGTCAATGCCCGTCTGGGTACGCACTTCAACGGTGCCGGAAACGGGGCACGCGCTTCAACGATGATTGGTGCGGGGTTTTTGCGGAGCACTGCACACGCTGGGTACTGCCAGCCCCGACCGCCTACCCTCCGCAACACGGGGCTCGCAGGTGGATCAGCGTGGGAAAGGGGGCCTGGTTTCCTCCAAGGGTCTCCTTAAAAGCCAAGAAAAAAAAAAAATAAAAAAAAAATCCAGCAATACGGGTTGCCTGTTCTAACTCCAGACCGGCCCCCTCTGCAGCACTGTGTGTGGTCGCCCGCACCCTACCGCCCGTTGCTTCTGCTGCCTCGACGACCTCTTTTGTCGCCACTTCGGCCTGGCGCCGGACCTTCCTGACTGGCCTTGTCTGATGCGCCACGGTGTGTCTATCTTTGAGTTAGACATGGATCATATTTATTCTTCTTTGCATTCCCTGAATGCTGATGCTTCTAGTGTGTCCCTACCTTATTACCCTGTGTGTAGTCCAGACTCTCCCGCTTCGCCAGGCGTAGGACCTTTTGCCTTGTTTAGTCTTAGCTCCACGCTTGCTCCCCCGGCGGCCATAGCTACCGCTTCTCTCTCCTTTACGCTTGACTCTGGCGCATCTGCCTGCTTCTTCCGCGACCACACTGCGCTCTCACCGCTTGCCGCGCCTGCCGCTGGCGCGCTTGCTGACTCCTACTCTGGTCCTGACGTTGCCCGTAGCTACACTACCCTTCCCTGTCAAGCGGTTCCCTCGGGCTCTCTTACAGGCCTGCACATCCCTTTGTTATCCAGGAACCTAGTTGGTGTCGGCTGTCTTCAGGACCTCGGCGTCACCACTACGTTCCCTGGTCACGAGCGGTAAGCTGTCTGTACCGAGGTCGCCTCAGGTGCCCCCCTTGCTACCTTCCCCCGGGACCCGGTGTTTGGCCTGTTTACGTTGGACACTGCTTCCCCCTCGGTGGGCACGTCCTCCCCGGGTCCTGCGTCTACCCAGGTCACTGCGGCTTGCTTGTGTCAGTCGCTCACTCACTCGTTGCTTCTGTGGCACCACCGCCTAGGTCACCCTACACTCCCACATCTGCGTCACATGTCTCAACACCGTCTCGTCCTAGGTCTCCCTGCATCACTCTCTGCCCTCCCTCCCTCGCCTACACCGCCGTGCACTCCCTGCGTCGTGCACCTCACTCCTCCTCGCTTCGCCCTACCACCACGCCACTTCAGACCTTGCACCTGGACGTCTTGGGTTTGGCCACCGTCCCTGGACCGCGTCGCGAGCGCTACTTTCTCGTGCTCGTCAACGACTACACGCGCTACACCACGGTGTTTCCCTTGGAGTGAAAGGTCGACGTGCCTGACATTCTTATCCCGTGGGTCGTAGCTATGCGCCTCCACCGCGGTCTCCATGTGCTGTGTCTCCACTCCGACTACGGCGGCGAGTTGGCCTCTGGTCGGCTTGGACAGTTCTGTCGTACGGAGGGCATCACCCAGTCGTACACCATACCGCACTCCCCGCAACAGAATGGGGTCACTCAACGACGCATGGGCTTGGTCATAGAGCTGGCTCGTACCTCCATGATCCATGCCGGTGCACCCCATTCTCCGTGGATGTTCGCTGCTCGCAACGCCGCTCACCAGCTTAGCCTATGGCCGCACTCTCAGCGGCCGCAGGTTTCGCCAACCCTTCATTGGACCGGGTTCCCTGGTGATGCATGTGCGTTCCACGTCTTGGGCTACCTTGCTCACGTTCGTGCCTCTGGCATGGACAAGCTCACTACCCGCACTGTCCCCTGTGTCTTCCTCGGTTTCCCCCTTAACTCGTCTGACTGGCACATTTACCACCCGCCGTCTCACCGCTTCTTTCACTCTCGTGATGCTACTTTCGACGAGTCTATCTCCTTTTACCACCGCTTTCCCCACCGAGGTCTCCCGAATTTACCTCCCCTGTTGCAGGTTCCCACTCCCCAGGTAGCCCCTGCTCACCTCCCTCCCTGTCCTGCTCTGTTTGGTGTGTTTCACGTCACTCCCCTCCCGGCGGTTGTCCCGGGTGAGGAGTCGGCTGACTCTGGTGGCCCCGCGATGCCGTTCTTGCCGCCTGCTTCTCCCCTGGTGTCTCCTCCTCCACCGTCGTAGTTGCTGCCACAGCCGTCGTCGCAGCTACAGCAGCAGCACCCGCCGCCACCGCAGCAGCCGCCGCAGCCGCTGCAGCAGCAGAAGCGGTTCGTGGACTCTGGGGGTGCTGGCGTTGAGGAGGGTGCTAGTCCTCGGGTTCCTGTCGTGGCTTGTCTCGGCGGGCCTGGGGGTGGCACCGGTGCTGGAGAGAGTTCTCCCTCTTAGGGTGCTCCCCATCGAGGTCTCCCGGTTTCCCCGCCCCTGTTTCTGGTACCCACTCCACCAGTCGCACCTGCTCTCCCCCCTCCCCATCCTGCTCCGTCTGGTGTGTCTCACGTCACTCCCCTCCCGTCGGTTGTCCCGGTCGAGGAGTCGGCTGACTCTCGTGTCCCAGCGGCGCATTTCTCGCCACCTGTGGCTCCCCCGGTGTCTCCTATACCCCCGTCGGGAGTGCTCCTGCCCTTGGCAATGACGTCCTAGAGGACAGGCATTACGAGCTTGCTTTCGTGTCCCAGGCCGCTCCTCATCTCTGTCAGCGCGATGGTGTGGACTTCTTTCAGACCTTCGCCCCGACCTCGAAGATGACTACTCTTCGGGCGTTGCTTTATATAGCAGCACTGCGTGACTACGAGCTACTCTCCTTTGACTTCTCCACAGCGTTCGTTCAGGGCAGCCTACACGAGCAGGTCTACCTGCGCCGTCCATAGGGCTTCACTGGTACCTTCCCTCCTAGGACTCATTTGTTAAATTATATATGTTATATATAATCTTAGGCTTGGTTGGTGTTACTGAAACCTACTGTATAGGGTACAAATCCCTCCTTGTATCCCTCTCTCTTCTAATCTCGATCTCTTTCCTCTCGTAACTTTCTCCTCCTAACACCTAAAACCTCTCGCCATTCCATAGCGCCTCCTACTCCTACCTAGCACTATTCTAGTATTCTAACACCATTGTCTCCTTCGCTGCCCGGTCTACGACCTGCGACAGGCGCCTCGTGATTGGCACGACACGCTCTGTGCGACACTAGCTGACCTGCTGTACTTCCCATTGTTTGCAGATCCCTCCCTCTTCGTTCGTGCTAGCCAGACCACGTTCTGCATCCTTTTCTACGTAGACGACCTGGTGTTTGTTACTACAGACAGAGACGCGCTAGCCTCCGTGAAGGCTGAGCTACTGAGGAGACACACCTGCACTGACCTAGGAGAGTTGCACCACTACCTTGGCGTGCAGATCTCCAGGGACAGAGCAGCGTGCACTATCACTCTCTCACAGTCACACTTGGTGCCCCAGGTCCTTCAGAGGTTCAGTCTTCAGTTCTCCTCTGCACAGCCCATGCCTCTGCCAGTAGACCACAGGCTCTCTGCTCCAGTTCCTGAGGAGTCTGTAGAGCCTAGTGGTTCTGACGCAGAGCTGGTGGATTGTCTCATGTACCTGATGACTTGCACTCGTCCAGATCTGGCATACCCTCTCAGCATCCTGGCTCGCTTTGTGGCCACAGGCAGACACCGACCACAACACTGGTCGGCTGCTAAGAGGGTTTTGCGTTATCTAGCAAGTACATCAGACATGGGACTCGTGCTGGGAGGACGCAAGCCAATGGTCCTTACTAGGCACACAGACGCTTCGTGGGCAGACGACGCTGAGACACTCAGGTCCTCCCAGGGCTACTGCTTCAGCCTTGTTTTAGATGCCGTCTCGTGGAGGTCCACTCGCTCCTCATCTGTTGCTCAGTCTAGTTTTGAGGCTAAGATCTACGTCGGTGCCATGGCGGCACAGGAGCTCCGCTGGCTGACTTTCTTGCTCAACGACTTAGGTGAGCGGCCTAGCTCTGCCCCGGTTCTGTATGCAGACAACATGGCCATGATCCTCTTGTGTCAGGAGCCTCAACTGGATTGCAGAGCGAAGCACATCCAGTTGCGGTACTTCCTCCTGCGCGAGCTACAGCAGCACCGCCAGGCCCGCGTAGTACACTTGGCCTCCGGTGCCAACACAACTGATATCATTACTAAGGCGCTTGCGCCTAAAGATTATCAGCGACAATGTTTGCAGCTTGGTCTAGTTCCTGTAGCTCCTCACTTTCTAGGACCTTGATTGTGTACTCCTCTTTGTATATATACCTACTTGGTTGGCCTTGTGGCTTCTCTTCCAGTGGGCGGACTAGTAGTAGTGCCGCGCTGGTTTGCTCTTGTTGAGTTTGTACTCTTGCTAACTGGTCTTCGGACCCCTGCCTCAGAGGTCGGACTAGTAGTGCCACTCTGAGTTGCGCGTTTCTTTCTCAGCACTGCCCCTTATCTAGCCTAGGCGGTGTGTCAACTTATACATATGTTTATATGTAGAAGTTTTAGGCTAGATATGTTTGTATTCATAGAGGGTAAAGCTCCAACCCATTATCCTCTCCTGTACTCCCTTGTTCTATTCATTCTGCTATTCTAAGAGGCAGGTCCATCGGACCTGCCAGAATGTGAAGGAGCTTGTGTCCTTTACAACAGAACTCGTCAAATCGAATCACAATCTGTTTTTTTTTGTTACAAAAAAAATTATTCCTGTAACAACACGTGCATAAGAGTTCATGCTACTCTTTCTCCGCGCTTTCATATTGCTGCGCAGTCAAGAGTTTCGGTAATGCTGCTACCCACTCAGCAGGATGTGGCAGCAGGACTGCAATGTAGCCCTCTGATGATGCCTGCGCATCGGAATAGACAAGTGTTAAGGATGCTAGCAATAAGGGATGGGCAGCAGTTTGGAATGTCATTATGGTTCAATGCATCCATACCATAATGCGACATGCCATGGACTCAAACAGTCCTTTAGTATGGGCATCGGCAATCGCTAAACAAGGCATGAGGCCGCAGTAGTGCCTTATCGTGTCTCTTAGCAGCATGGATGGGATCGGTGGCCTTGTCAGAGTCATGAAAAAACTCCTACCCCGTCCCTCACACCCACCCTCACTGGCACAGTGCGTTACCCTGTCTCTCACACCCTCACTGGCACAGTGCCTCACCTTGTCTCGCAGCAGCATGGGGTCAGTGGCGAGGCGGCGATTGACCTCTATCAGACGAGCCTTGATGCAGCACCTGCCGGAGGGAGGGTGACGTGGGAGAGAGAGAGACGGGGGAGATATTGACGCTCTCCAAAACCGCGCTGTGAGGAGTGGGGAAGGGCAGTGGGTGGAACGTCTAAAGGGGAACGGGGGGAAAGGGTGAGGGGAACGGGGGGAAAGGGTGAGGGGACCGGGGGGAAAGGGTGAGGGGAACGGGGGGAAAGGGTGAGGGGAACGGGGGGAAAGGGTGAGGGGAACGGGGGAAAGGGTGAGGGGAACGGGGGGAAAGGGTGAGGGGAACGGGGGGAAAGGGTGAGGGGAACGGGGGGAAAGGGTGAGGGGAACGGGGGAAAGGGTGAGGGGAACGGGGGGAAAGGGTGAGGGGAACGGGGGAAAGGGTGAGGGGAACGGGGGGAAAGGGTGAGGGGAACGGGGGGAAAGGGTGAGGGACGGGGGAAAGGGTGAGGGGAACGGGGGAAAGGGTGAGGGGAACGGGGGGAAAGGGTGAGGGGAACGGGGGGAAAGGGTGAGGGGAACGGGGGGAAAGGGTGAGGGGAACGGGGGGAAAGGGTGAGGGGAACGGGGGGAAAGGGTGAGGGGAACGGGGGGAAAGGGTGAGGGGAACGGGGGGAAAGGGTGAGGGGAACGGGGGGAAAGGGTGAGGGGAACGGGGGAAAGGGTGAGGGGAACGGGGGGAAAGGGTGAGGGGAACGGGGGGAAAGGGTGAGGGAACGGGGGGAAAGGGTGAGGGGGGGGGGGGGGGAACGGGGGAAAGGGTGAGGGGAACGGGGGGAAAGGGTGAGGGGAACGGGGGGAAAGGGTGAGGGGAACGGGGGGAAAGGGTGAGGGGAACGGGGGAAAGGGTGAGGGAACGGGGGGAAAGGGTGAGGGAACGGGGGGAAAGGGTGAGGGGAACGGGGGGAAAGGGTGAGGGGAACGGGGGGAAAGGGTGAGGGGAACGGGGGAAAGGGTGAGGGGAACGGGGGGAAAGGGTGAGGGGAACGGGGGAAAGGGTGAGGGGAACGGGAAAGGGTGAGGGGAACGGGGGGAAAGGGTGAGGGGGCGGGGAAAGGGTGAGGGGAACGGGGGGAAAGGGTGAGGGGAACGGGGGGAAAGGGTGAGAACGGGGGGAAAGGGTGAGGGGAACGGGGGAAAGGGTGAGGGGAACGGGGGGAAAGGGTGAGGGGAACGGGGGAAAGGGTGAGGGAGCGGGGGGAAAGGGTGAGGGAACGGGGGAAAGGGTGAGGGGAACGGGGGGAAAGGGTGAGAGAACGGGGGGAAAGGGTGAGGGGAACGGGGGAAAGGTAGGGGAACGGGGGGAAAGGTGAGGGAACGGGGGAAAGGGTGAGAGGAACGGGGGGAAAGGGTGAGGGAACGGGGGAAAGGGTGAGGGGAACGGGGGGAAAGGGTGAGGGAACGGGGGGAAAGGGTGAGGGGAACGGGGGGAAAGGGTGAGGAACGGGGGGAAAGGGTGAGGGAACGGGGGAAAGGGTGAGGGGAACGGGGGGAAAGGGTGAGGGGAACGGGGGGAAAGGGTGAGGGGGGGGGAAGGGTGAGGGGACGGGGGGGGGGGGGAACGGGGGAAAGGGTGAGGGGAACGGGGGGAAAGGGTGAGGGGAACGGGGGGAAAGGGTGAGGGAACGGGGGGAAAGGGTGAGGGAACGGGGGGAAAGGGTGAGGGGAACGGGGGGAAAGGGTGAGGGGAACGGGGGAAAGGGTGAGGGAACGGGGGAAAGGGTGAGGGAACGGGGGGAAAGGGTGAGGGGAACGGGGGGAAAGGGTGAGGGGAACGGGGGGAAAGGGTGAGGGGAACGGGGGGAAAGGGGGGGGGGAAGGGTGAGGGGAACGGGGGGAAAGGGTGAGGGGAACGGGGGAAAGGGTGAGGGAACGGGGGGAAAGGGTGAGGGGAACGGGGGGAAAGGGTGAGGGGAACGGGGGGAAAGGGTGAGGGGAACGGGGGGAAAGGGTGAGGGAACGGGGGGGGGGGGGGGGGAAAGGGTGAGGGAACGGGGGGAAAGGGTGAGGGGAACGGGGGGAAAGGGTGAGGGGAACGGGGGGAAAGGGTGAGGGGAACGGGGGGAAAGGGTGAGGGGAACGGGGGGAAAGGGTGAGGGGAACGGGGGGAAAGGGTGAGGGGAACGGGGGGAAAGGGTGAGGGGAACGGGGGGAAAGGGTGAGGGGAACGGGGGGAAAGGGTGAGGGGAACGGGGGGGGAAAGGGTGAGGGGAACGGGGGGAAAGGGTGAGGGGAACGGGGGGAAAGGGTGAGGGGAACGGGGGGAAAGGGTGAGGGGAACGGGGGAAAGGGTGAGGGGAACGGGGGGGGGGGGGGGGGGGGGGGGGGGGAAAGGGTGAGGGGAACGGGGGGAAAGGGTGAGGGGAACGGGGGGAAAGGGTGAGGGGAACGGGGGAAAGGGTGAGGGGAACGGGGGAAAGGGTGAGGGGAACGGGGGGAAAGGGTGAGGGGAACGGGGGGAAAGGGTGAGGGGAACGGGGGGAAAGGGTGAGGGGAACGGGGGAAAGGGTGAGGGGAACGGGGGGAAAGGGTGAGGGGAACGGGGGGAAAGGGTGAGGGGAACGGGGGGAAAGGGTGAGGGGAACGGGGGAAAGGGTGAGGGGAACGGGGGGAAAGGGTGAGGGGAACGGGGGGAAAGGGTGAGGGGAACGGGGGAAAGGGTGAGGGGAACGGGGGGAAAGGGTGAGGGGGGGGAAAGGGTGAGGGGAACGGGGGAAAGGGTGAGGGGAACGGGGGGAAAGGGTGAGGGGAACGGGGGGAAAGGGTGAGGGGAACGGGGGGAAAGGGTGAGGGGAACGGGGGGAAAGGGTGAGGGGAACGGGGGGAAAGGGTGAGGGGGGGGGAAAGGGTGAGGGGAACGGGGGGAAAGGGTGAGGGGAACGGGGGGAAAGGGTGAGGGAACGGGGGGAAAGGGTGAGGGGAACGGGGGGAAAGGGGGGGGGGGGGAAGGGTGAGGGGAACGGGGGGAAAGGGTGAGGGAACGGGGGGAAAGGGTGAGGGGAACGGGGGGAAAGGGTGAGGGGAACGGGGGGAAAGGGTGAGGGGAACGGGGGAAAGGGTGAGGGAACGGGGGGAAAGGGTGAGGGGAACGGGGGGAAAGGGTGAGGGGAACGGGGGGAAAGGGTGAGGGGAACGGGGGGAAAGGGTGAGGGGAACGGGGGGAAAGGGTGAGGGAACGGGGGGAAAGGGTGAGGGGAACGGGGGGAAAGGGTGAGGGGAACGGGGGGAAAGGGTGAGGGGAACGGGGGGAAAGGGTGAGGGGAACGGGGGGAAAGGGTGAGGGGAACGGGGGGAAAGGGTGAGGGGAACGGGGGGAAAGGGTGAGGGGAACGGGGGGAAAGGGTGAGGGAACGGGGGGAAAGGGTGAGGGGAACGGGGGGAAAGGGTGAGGGGAACGGGGGGAAAGGGTGAGGGGAACGGGGGGAAAGGGTGAGGGGAACGGGGGGAAAGGGTGAGGGGAACGGGGGGAAAGGGTGAGGGGAACGGGGGGAAAGGGTGAGGGGAACGGGGGAAAGGGTGAGGGGAACGGGGGGAAAGGGTGAGAGGAACGGGGGGAAAGGGTGAGGGTAACGGGGGAAAGGGTGAGGGGAACGGGGGGAAAGGGTGAGAGGAACGGGGGGAAAGGGTGAGGGGAACGGGGGGAAAGGGTGAGAGGAACAGGGGGAAAGGGTGAGGGGAACGGTTGAGGGAAGAGCGCACACACATGCGTGCGCACGCTTCGCGGCACAGAAGACGCGCGCATGCACACGTGCACAACCCCGCACGCACGCACGCACACGTGCGCACACACACACACACAGAGCAAGGAAGAACGCATAGTGGCAGAAGCAGCAACAGCACGCTGATAGATCTTGCTATCTGAGAAAAGAACCATTTGTCCACCTGGCAACATAGAAGTCATATCCTTGACCATTCTTCCGCCCTTGCCCATTCCCCTGACCTTGCCCGCTCCCTTGCCCTTGCCTATCACCCCGTACTTGCCCTTCCTCCCTCCCTGTACCGTTCACCTGGCAACGTAGAAATCATATCCTTGACCATTCTTCCGCCCTTGCCCATTCCCCTGCCCTTGCCCTTCCTCCTTCCCTTTAACTATCACCGCTTCACACCCATCTCTTTCCCCTAATCTCAAACCCGCTTCCTTCGTCCCCTCAGTAGTAGTTGTGACTGTATCAGTGGTAGCGACCGTATCAGAGGCTATGACTGTATCAGAGGCTATGACTGTACCAGTGGCTGTGACTGCAGCAGCTGTGGTTGTACCAGAAGCTGTTGTGACACTATCAGCAGCAGCTGTGGCTGTCTCAGTTGCTGTGACTGTATTACTTGCTGTGACTGTATCAGTAGCTGTGACTGTATTACTTGCTGTGACTGTATCACTTGCTGTGACTGTATCAGCTGCTGCGACTGTATCAGTGGCCGTGACTGTATCAGCAGCTGCTGCAGCACGCGAAAGTAGAACACGATCAGCAACGGCAGCAGGGCTTGTGACAGTATCAGGAGATGACGACACCATGACAACCTTGCACAGCGCTGAGTTGGCATCCAGAGGTGTCGCCCTCTGATTGGACGGGGATGACCGGTGGGCAAAGGATGGGCTTTACGACAGTTGTTGCAGTCACGGAGGGTAGGACGCAGAGTGAGGAGTGACAGACAGGCAACCTAAACAGACGGGGCTTTACGAGAGAGATAGAAGAAGCATGGGCCAAAGAAAGCAGGAGCACTTAAGCAGGGAACAAAGTAAGTAGGTTCATGAAGCAGAAACGATCAAAGCAGCAGGTTGCAGCAGGAAAAATCTCCTCCTCCAAATGACTTGGACGAAGCAGTCCCCTTCGCCATTCTTCAAGGTCTGTGAATAGACTCATCATGATCACCAGCTAGTCTTATTTCAGCGCCCCTCCATCACCCCAGTCCCCACCTGCTTTCTTTCACTTCCATGCCCCTCCATTCCCCCCAACCCCCACCTGCTTGTTTCAGCGCCCCTCTACTCTTCCCCCCTCCCAAAATCCTCACCTGCTTGTTTCAGCGCCCCTCTACTCTTCCCCCCCCCCAAAATCCTCACCTGTTTGTTTCAGCGCCCTACTCCTACCCCCCCAAAACCCCCACCTGTTGGTTTCAGCGCCCCTCTACTCCCCCTCTGCTTGTTTCAGCGCCCCTATACTCCCCCTCTGCATGTTTCAGCGTCCCTCTACTCCCCCTCGGCTTGTTTCAGCGCCCCTCTACTCCCCCTCGGCTTGTTTCAGCGCCCCTCTACTCCTCCCCCCCCAAAACCCCCACCTGTTTGTTTCAGCGCCCTACTCCCTCCCCCCCCAAAACCCCACCTGTTGGTTTCAGCGCCCCTCTACCCCCCCTCGGCTTGTTTCAGCGCCCCTCTACTCCTCCCCCCCCAAAACCCCCACCTGTTTGTTTCAGCGCCCTACTCCCCCCCCCCCCCAAACCCCCACCTGTTGGTTTCAGCGCCCCTCTACTCCCCCTCGGCTTGTTTCAGCGCCCCTCTACTCCCCCTCTGCTTGTTTCAGCGCCCCTCTACTCCCCCTCTGCTTCTTTCAGCGCCCCTCTACTCCCCCTCTGCTTGTTTCAGCGCCCCTCTACTCCCCCCCCCAAAACCCCCACCTGCTTGTTTCAGCGCCCCTCTACTCTCCCCCACAAAACCCCCACCTGTTTGTTCTTGCCAGTCGCCTCCATCTCCATGCGGCTTCTCTTGCCGACATGGAAATCAACGGCTGCAATCGCTCGATCTGCTGCCAGTGCTGCATGGGAGGGAGCAAGGCCAACCACAACGAGCCTGTGAGTGGGGAGTGAGAGGGGCGCAGGCAGGGATTTCAGACGAGGGGGAGAAACCGGGAGAATGCCTTTGAGTTGACTCAGCATGGATCAAGGCCACGGCAACGAGCCTGTGAGGAGGAGCGGGTGGGGTTCAGGCAGGGGAGTAAGATGGGGAGGGAGAGGAGGGGAGGTGGTTTGAGTGTATGAGGGGAGTGGGGTAGGACAGGAGTGAGGGGGGTGCGGGGAAGAATGGTTGGGAATCCCAACTTGGGTTGGGACTTCACTGTTGCACTGCTGCCCGTTTCCTTGTTATCAGGGATCCCAGCAGGCACTTGCACAGTGTGTTCCTAGTTCAAGCTAGTTCCGAGTTTTGCAATCAGGGTTCAGAGTTCAAGGTTTAAGGGTTTGGGTCAGGGTTCAGGGTTCAAGGTTCAATGGTCCAGGCTTAGGGTTCAGGATTCTGGGTTCAAGGTTTCGAAACTAGGGTTCAGATTTCAGGGTTTAAGGTTCCGGGTTCCGAGTTCAAGCAAGGCATTATTTGCCATGCACCAATGACATGCACCATACCCATTGCCATGCACTACACCTATTAGCATGCACCATACCCATTGCCATGCACTACACCTATTAGCATGCACCATACCCCTTGCCCTTGCCATGCACCACACCTTTTAGCACGCACTATACCCATTGGCATGCACCACACGCATTGGCATGCACCATACGCATTGGCATGCACCATACGCATTGGCATGCACCATACGCATTGGCATGCACCACACGCATTGGCATGCACCATACGCATTGGCATGCACCACACCTATTAGCATGCATCATACCCATGGCCATGCACCAGACACATTGCCATGCACCATAACCACCAGATCCATTGCCATACGCCATACCCATTGGCATGTCTGTAGATGTACTGGTCGTTGCCCTTGATGCCTCCCACGTCTGCCATCACCAAATACACACATGTGGATGGTTGCAAATCGGTTTCGGGAGGTACACGTGCGTTCAACAGGGCGTGATTGCACCATGATAATTTTGAGCAGAGGCGAGAAGCATGTTTGTGACGGTGGGGAGGTGGGTGGGTGGGTGGGGGTGGGGGGGGGGGGGGGGGGGGGGGGGGGGGGGAGGGGAGGGGGGGAGGTGAGGGGGAAAATGTATGGGGTGGAAAATGGGTCCACGCGAGCAGCTCATGCCTCGCACGCACCGCGGAGGAAGTATCGCGCGAAGCCGCGCTCGTGGTAGCGAAGCGGCGAGCGCACGGCGAGCACGTGAGGCGGGTACAGCTCGTCGAAGGAGAGAGAACCGGAGGGGTCTAAACCGAATGGAGTATCGCGTGCCAGTGCGGCCTGTGGAGCGTGACCTGGCAGGGAGAGGCGCGCTTCTGGTGGGTTCTGTGACTTTGGAGATTGTGCCTCTAACGGGACCTGCGGCGCTTCTCGTGATTCCTTATGGCCCGGGTCGCCCGCATTGCTGGTGGATTGGCGAGGCATCTCCCCGTGATCCCCGTCCCGTTCCATGCGGCAACGCTTGCAATGGATTTGAGGGAAGCTGGAACGAAACTGTTGGGTGATCTTGCTTCGTTTGGGCTATGGCGGATACTAGGGATAGGTTGACGTCTCATGAAGGGTGTGCATGTTCTCAATCGAGCGCGTGGGTTCTCCTCTCAAATCGAAAGTAGTTGTAAACTAACGCATAATATGGGGTTTTATATTAGAAAAAGCACCACATTGAATGCATTCAATAAACCAACTACATACAATACCGTAACAGTGTCTTCAGAAAACGACGGGAATCAGCTGGAAATTAGTATGCTAAATGTGGTTGAAATGGCAATATGGAGTGCCACATAGTCGAGCTACTAAAGCCTCCTGAGGCAACAAGCAGCCCCATGTCTTAGTCAAAATCGAGGAGCATGAATGACCCTGAGAGCAACCTTGTTTCGTACACAGCGCCCAACGCTGAAGTCAACTCTGCTGCTCCTGCATCTCCCATGTCATCTGCCAAATTCGACCTCCCCTCTTCAATCCACGGCACAGCCCTATCAACAGCCATCTGCGCCCAATTGAAGCACATGTTATCTGTGGGAGAGCGAGTGCCAGGCATTAGCTCTGTCAACAGCCATCTGCCCTGCCCATGTCATCTGAGCACCTTCGACCTCCCCTCCTTGATCCACGGCACGGCCCAGTCAACAGCCAGCTGCCGCACTGCTGCCTCCACCTCCCCCCAATCCCGCACCCTGAATCACCCTGGATCACACGCCCCATTCCCCACCCATGTCATCTGCGCACGTTCGACCTCCCCTCCTTGATCCACGGCATGGCCCTATCCACAGCCAGCTGTCGCACTGCCACCTCCACCTCCCCCCAGTCCCTCACTCGCTCTATCAGCTCGTGGTGGGGCCCGCCGCCCTCGGTCTTGCTCCAGGGGTACTGCAGCAGCCAATCAAAGAGCAGCACACTGATGCCGTGTTCTGCACACTCCATGGCGTAGCGCGGGTTGTCGTCGATCAGCACCTCTGCGCCCAGTTCCCTGGTGGGAGGGAACGGTATGTGTGGTAATGGAAATACGGTTAACACAAAGGACTCCATGGCGTGCCGCCGCAGGTTGTCGTCTATCAGTACCTCCGCTCCTAGCTCGCTGGGGGGGGATGAGGATGTGAAGTGGTATGAGCCCGAGCTGTTGCATGAGCATGCAAGATGGTGGGGGATGGACGGGTGCCATTCGCTCGTGCAAAAACAGATGGGGGAAGGGAGAGTCTAAGGCAGCCGAATAGCACGGTATTACAAGCACAACCACCACCAACACATCTCAGAGCAAAGAGTGTGTCCAACCACTCGCTATAAGCACACCCACTACCACAAACCCATCCACTGTACTCCCACCCACCCACCGGCACATCTCGGACTTGGGTCTGGGCGTGCCCTCGAGCGCAAAGTGGTTGCCGAAGTGCACCGAGGAAAAGACCCCCGGGAAGTGGTTGTCCAGCCACTCCAGTGTGGGCTCTCGAATCACATGCTGCCGCGACCTGCAAGCTCACATGCACACACATGCGCACACAGGCACATATGGGAGAAGGCAAGCAATTGCAGAATGGAGGGGGGAGAGGGGGGTGAAAAGGAGATGGGAGGACAGCAAGGGAAAGCCGGACCACATGATGGGCTGCTCATATCTGTGGCAATGCGAAGAGAGACATGAGGCTAAGGAGAGTGGAAGAAAGGAATGGGAGAGAGAACGATTGGAAGGGAGAGGCAGGGTGCATACTAAAGAAAGGCAGACAACTGGAGTGTAAGCGGGCGCACTTAACAAGGAGAGAGGTAGTGGGCTTTGAATGGAGGGCCACAGGTGAGAACAGCAACTAGGATGATGGATCAAGAGAGTGGGCAACAACGAGGGTGAGGTGGGGGAGGGCGTACGTGACAGCAACGAAGGTGAGGTGGGGGGGAAGGCGTACGTGACAACAACGAGGGTGAGGTGGGCAAGAGGGCGTACGTGACAACAACGAGGTCGGTGAAGTGCGAGAGGCGGCGCAGCGTGTCAAACGCGCCTGGGATGATGGGGATGCCGTCGTTGAAGTGGTCCGACTTGAAGAAGTCGTGCACGCGGTGGTTCGCTGCACGGGCCGTGGGGGTTGTTGAGGGGCAAGAGAGGGTGCAGGCGAGAGAGGGTGCAGGCAAGAGAGGGTGAAGATAAGAGAGGGTGCAGGCACGAGAGGGTGCAGATAAGAGAGGGTGCAGGCAAGAGAGGGTGCAGATAAGAGAGGGTGCAGATAAGAGAGGGTGCAGGCAAGAGAGGGTGCAGATAAGAGAGGGTGCAGATAAGAGAGGGTGCAGATAAGAGAGGGTGCAGGCAAGAGAGGGTGCAGATAAGAGAGGGTGCAGGCAAGAGAGGGTGCAGATAAGAGAGGGTGCAGGCAAGAGAGGGTGCAGATAAGAGAGGGTGCAGGCAAGAGAGGGTGCAGATAAGAGAGGGTGCAGATAAGAGAGGGTGCAGGCAAGAGAGGGTGCAGATAAGAGAGGGTGCAGATAAGAGAGGGTGCAGATAAGAGAGGGTGCAGGCAAGAGAGGGTGCAGATAAGAGAGGGTGCAGGCAAGAGAGGGTGCAGATAGGCGACAGGCAAGGCATAACATGCTCGATCAGAGAAAGCGTCGAAAGAAGGGCGGCCCGTGTGTATGCTTTATCGTTCACAAGTGGTGCTGGCAGAACAGACCGGAAAGGGGGCCATATGAAGGGAAAGAGAGGAAACGGCTAGCAGATGGAGTAGGAAGAAAGCATGGGAAGGAGGGAGGATGGGAAGGAAGGACGCGAGGAGGGAAGGAAGGACGGGAGGAAAGAAGGGAGGAAGAGAGGGGGGAAGGAAGGGAGGGAGGGAGGGAGGGAGGGGGGAAGGAAGGGAGGGAGGGAGGGAGGGAGGGAGGGGGGAAGGAAGGGAGGGAGGGAGGGAGGGAGGGGGGAAGGAGGGGCCGGGCAGCGGTGCTCACCTTCCTCCTGGGAGCACTTCCAGATCTGCAGAGGGACCACACACAGACAGATGGTCGGGGTATGGGGAGCGGGAATGAGTGTGTGAGTGAGTGTGTGCGTGAGGAGTGTGCGTGTGTGCGTGTGTGAGTGAGTATGGTGTCGGAGAGCGAGCAGATGCTTCAGGCGGATGGGCGGATGGGCGGATGGGCGGATGGGCGGATGGGCGGATCATCAAGTCAAATCTCGAGGTTCCTAGGTTCGAATTCGTCGGTCTCTCCCCTCACCTTAACCCCCATCCCCCATCCCCTTTCTAACCCCGATCCCCTATCCTCTTTCTAACCCCGATCCCCTATCCTCTTTCTAACCCCGATCCCCTATCCCCGTCTCAGCATCTTCACTCTCTGCCCTTCCCTCTACCTCTCCCCCTCCCTCCTCCTCTTCCTCTCCCTCTCCCCCTCCCTCTCCCTCTTCCACTTCCTCCCTCCATCGCTCCTGGCGTCTCCCCCTCGCACCCCTCACTTTCTCTCTCTCCCGGCCAGCTGCTTCAATGGTGAACGCCATCCACGAAATCTTCGCTTTTGTTCACGAAGACGCGAAATGGTTGACCCACCCTCGCGAAACGGTTGACCCGCGTCGACGAAATGGATACCCACCCTCACGAAAAGGTTGACCGACCTTGGCGAAACGGTTACCCACCTTCATGAAGTCGTAGACGTAGAACTCGTGCAGGTCGTGTCGCACGGAGTACTTTTCGGCGCAAAAGAGGTTCAGCGTTGAGAGAAAACTGCCCAGCACTGGGGGGAGGGCAATGACAAGGGCGAAGAACGGGAGGGGGGGGAGGCATGGATGGATCCAACGATCACATCATGATCCGCTGCTAAAAGAGCACCTCACACTGCCATTCACACACACACCCTCATACACCCTCACACATCCTCTAGTCCTTCGCACACCCACCAGTACCCTACTACACCTCTACGCACTCAGAACTCACCCTGCTGCACCACGGCACACCCCTCACCCCATAGGACACCATAGTGGACCCTGCAGTTCCACTCGGCACCCCTCTGTACCTTCGTCAACGTCGACCGCCACGCGGAGTCTCTGCTGCATGGCCTTCCCTTCGTAGCCAGTCAGCTCCTCGCCGCTCCATCCGCTCGTCGCAGCACCGTTCGCCATGGCCGTGCCGTTGCTCGTCCCTTTCGCCGGCTCCACCGACGCGCCGTTAGACTGCCGGCCGTTAAGCAGCTGGCCGTTAGGCTGCCGGCCATTGGTCGACACCGCCTCCACCTCCTCCTCCTGCTCTTTGCCAGCCGGCCTCGCGCTGCTGACCGCTTGACACGTGGCAAGTGAGTCGTGAAGCGGGGGGGATCGCTTAGATAGAGGCTTGCTGGCCGGCATTCCCGTGAGATGCGGCGTGTGATGCGGCGAGTCCGTGTTTGCTACAGGAGGCACTCTGCGTCTCGAGTTTGACGGCGACGATTCGGCAGAGCAGAAAACCCTAGCTGTTGCGGATGCAACGACATCAGATCGACTGGGTTTAGCGGCATTCACGAACAGCCGCCGAGATTCAGATCTGCGAGACAAGGACGATCTGCAGCGAGCAGACTGCGGATCTTGACGACGAGAGCTCCGGGAATCCCGCACATCTGAAATGAGGCTGGCGGCTGTCAGGCTGGGAGCTGTCCCGAGATTCGCTGCGCGAAGAGCCATTGATGAGTTCCGGAGCTGTTCCCACGAGGGTGAATCACTTGGGTGTGGATGATCACAGTCGGGTAGGGTAGGGTTCTGGACGAGAGCTGAGAGCAAGAAACCGAGTTGGTCGGTATGTACACAGGGCGAGCGAGGCAGCAAGGGTTCACCTCATTGCCGCAGGCTCTCAGCTCGACAGAAACCTTTCTGCGTGTGATCCGCCTCGAATGGCGGGAGACGACCTCGAGAGGCGAAAACAAGGCCGAAGCGGGGATACGGCTCGGACTAGTTCCAAGTTGTAACGTCCACCCTACCCAAGTGAATCAAAGTTGCTTGAATACGTGCCATCCTCTCCTCCTTATCTGGCCTGAGGGCGTACCATACCAGTTTGCTTTTGCGGGGTTGATGAGATGCTCTGAGTTCCAGAGCGTTCCGTTTGTCGTTTAAAACGGTTGGGTGAGGTTTCGAGCGGAAACGAACACTTTTGACATGCCCTAGGAGAAGGTGGGGGAAGGGGAAGCAGGACAGAGAGCAATAGATGAGCTTTTGGCGGGAAAAGCCTGTTCCAGCTTTTCGCACTGCTGGAGGGTCGGCCTCGAAAATACCGGAAATAAAGGTGGTGTTCTCGCTGATTTAGCGAGGATATTACCTCGTTTAGACACCAGTTACAGAGTGAGCCAGTGCTGGCAACGTAAAATTCTATTGGCTGCAGTCGTCTGCCAGGTGTACGGTGGGGACATAATCGAGTCGCCTTCGTCAGCAGCCCATTCTGTGAGCCCAGCCGCAATCAAGGGGGTTTGGGGGTTGAGCCAATTCATTCGCTATAGGATGGATCACCAAGGTTAGCATTACTAGAACTTCAGGTGTACACTACATGGAATCTCGGTATCTAGGAGATGCGTGCGAAATGGCTGCTTTCCCGGATTCTTGTGAAATCCAGGCGGCCCGTCAAACACGAGACACGGCAAATAAGGGGCCACGTATGCCCAAACACCACAATGCAGTACGCCGCGATCTGCTGCTCCTACAGTTAGCTCGATAGTAGCCCCTGCCACCATTGGAGGCGAATCCCCGGCAGCAGCGTGTGTCTCCTAATCACTCGCAGTGAAGCATACAGTGGCAGGCACGCCTGGGCCTGCCCTCTCGTTATGGCGTTGCTAGTCGTGCGAATTAGCGTGAGCGCGCAGCGTCAGCTACCAGGTCGCCGCTGAAGCGGCTGACGGCAGCGTGCGATCGGCGTTGGAGGCTGGCTCGGACATGGTTGGGACCATTGGGCGACTCGCACTTAGTAGACTCAAGACCAGAGGCCGACATCGAACGATTCTGCTCTCTCCTCACTCGTTCGGCTCGCCATTGTCACATTCGCTATTAGTGCCACCGTCATGCTCGCCTTTCGCCCTGAGCGTCACTTGCACGTCATGGCCGTCGCCCTCAGCCGCCGCGTTCTCGCCGTCGCTCCTCCTCCGCGTCCTCCGCACACCCACCACTCATCGCACACTCACGCCCCCTCAGAGTTCACACTCGTTCCCTCACCACTCCCACACTCACTCGCGCGCCTCTCCCACACCTCTCCCCGCGAGCATCAGCGCCAATTGCGACCCGCCTGGATATAGCCCCCACCACGTGCCACCTCCCCCTCCCCGCGCTCAGGTACCGCCTCCCCTTCACGGCACTCAGATAACACCTTCCCTTCCCCACGACGCGCCGTCAACCAGCGGACGGCCGAGATACGATCCTGAGGAGATCGCAAAGGAGTACAGATGGCGACCCGTGACAGTAGCGAGGCGCACGGGCGTGACTATAGCGGAGCTGGCGCGCATGTGGTGGCGGAAACAGATGGTGGCGGACGTGCGAGTGCGCGCTAGGAAGGTGCGTGTCTGTGAGAGCGTGGGGTGGAAAGGTGCGGATGGTCTTGCTGCCGTTTCCGCATTCCAGGGACCCATCGGCACAAACCTTCGCCGCTTGCAATTTTTGAGGCGCCTCAGAAACCTTCGGCGCTTGCAAGTGGCGGGAGTGTGGTGATCGAACGGCCTGTTCGAAAAACTAGTAGCTGGGCTACTTGTGTGGTTCTTCTTGCTATGACGGAGGGTTCAGCTCAGGGATAGAAGACAGGGTGCGGCACTAGGAACACTGCTGCGCCGGTAGTAAGGGAGAAGTGACTATGATGAGTGGCTGTTTGGCGACTTGTGTGACTGTAAGGAGAGCTCATAATAGTGTGACTGAGCTGTCTGTTGAAAAAGATGAGCACCAGCATCGCTCGCCCATCCAGCATCTCGCATGCCGTCCGTCTCATCGCCCCTCTGCCGCTGTGTGCCTTCCCGTTTCTTCCCTTTCCCGCGTCAGTTCAGGGAGTCTCTCGTTCGCCTCGGCCCCTTCTACGTCAAGGTACTGCACCCCCCTGCCCCGCCCTGCCCTGCTGATTCACTCCTTCGCTCCCTATCCCCCTCGCAATCTCGTTCTCTCCCCTCTCTCGCTCGCCTCGGCCCCTTCTAGTCCTCAGAAGTGTTTTTTACCAGCCATGGCAACTGTTTCCACCTCTCCTCTAGTCTAATTCGTCTCTCTCTCCCCATTCCCTCTCCCCCTCCGCTCTCCCCATCCCTCTCCCCCTCCGCTCTCCCCATCCCCTCTCCCCCTCCGCTCTCCCCATCCCTCTCCCCCTCCGCTCTCCCCATCCCTCTCCCCTCCGCTCTCCCCATCCCTCTCCCCTCCGCTCTCCCCATCCCTCTCCCCCTCCGCTCTCCCATCCCTCTCCCCCTCCGCTCTCCCATCCCTCTCCCCCTCCGCTCTCCCATCCCTCTCCCCCTCCGCTCTCCCCATCCCTCTCCCCCTCCGCTCTCCCCATCCCTCTCCCCCTCCGCTCTCCCCATCCCTCTCCCCCTCCGCTCTCCCCATCCCTCTCCCCTCCGCTCTCCCCATCCCTCTCCCCTCCGCTCTCCCCATCCCTCTCCCCCTCCGCTCTCCCCATCCCTCTCCCCCTCCGCTCTCCCCATCCCTCTCCCCCTCCGCTCTCCCCATCCCTCTCCCCCTCCGCTCTCCCCATCCCTCTCCCCCTCCGCTCTCCCCATCCCTCTCCCCCTCCGCTCTCCCCATCCCTCTCCCCCTCCGCTCTCCCCATCCCTCTCCCCCTCCGCTCTCCCCATCCCTCTCCCCCTCCGCTCTCCCCATCCCTCTCCCCCTCCGCTCTCCCCATCCCTCTCCCCCTCCGCTCTCCCCATCCCTCTCCCCCTCCGCTCTCCCCATCCCTCTCCCCCTCCGCTCTCCCCATCCCTCTCCCCCTCCGCTCTCCCCATCCCTCTCCCCCTCCGCTCTCCCCATCTCCTCTCCCCCTCCACTCTCCCCTTTCCCTCTCCCCATCGCCTTTCCCCCTTCAACTCCTTGTTGCAGTTGGGGCAGGCTCTCAGCACTCGGCCGGATATTTTACCGCCCGAGTACTGCGCTGAGCTGGCACTGCTACAGGATCGGATGGCGCCCTTCCCCTGCCACGTGGCACTTGCTACAGTGCAGCAGGAGCTGGGAGTGCCGCCCAGCCAGCTGTTTGCGGAGTTCAGCTCCGCCCCTGTAGCGGCTGCTTCCTTGGGTCAGGTGTACAAAGGTGAGAACAGCGGTCAGAATGGGTGAGAGGGTTCGATATGATTTGAGGTGCCGCCCAGCCAGCTGTGTGCGCAGTTCAGCTCTGCTCCTGTGGCAGCGGCATCTCTGGGTCAGGTGTACAGGGAGAACTATTTTTTAGGCGCCTCATTTTTTAGGCGATTTTGTAGGCCTTTTTCTAGGCGATTTTGAGGCGATAGCCTGAAAAATGGCTTCAAAAACAGCTCAGCTCAGCCCCTGTGGCAGCGGCATCCCTGGGTCAGGTGTTCAGGAGGGTGGGCCTTTAAGCCGACGCAAAAGGGTGAGCTTGACACGAACGGTGGCTTGGGTTTGTTGGCTGGGTGGGAGTCTACTGGACTGCCGCCTCCCAGCCAGCTGTTTGCAGATTTCAGTTCGGATCCCATGGCCAGTTGCAGATCTACACCCGTGGGTCAGGTGACATCTGAGACAACTGTGAAGAAGGGGTGTAAGGTCTTCCCTCGAAACAACTGTTTGCTGAAGCAGCTGTGCACCACCAGATAGCCCTCGGCCCCTCGACTCCCTCACCACTAACCCACTCCTTTCTATCTTCTCGCATCTCTTTTCTCCCTCCATCTCCCGTCTCTCCAGCGCGTCTCCTCTCAGGCGAGTGCGTGGCAGTGAAGGTACAGCGCCCAGCGGTGCGCCACCAGATAGCGCTCGACTCCCTCGTCGTTCGCCGTGTGGCGGCACTGCTGCAGCCGCTGGTGCATGGCAGATCAGATCTTGTCGCGATTGCCGACCAGCTGGTGAGTATACAGATTGTCCTTGCTCAGCGCCCAGCGGTTATACGATTGTCCCTGCTCTTCGTCGCCCTCTTTTTCTCTCAACCTCGCTCGCATAATGTGCCAGTCATACTGTGTTAATTTCGGGGTTGTCATACTAAGGGAATCTATGTGCCACGTTAAAACTGCCTTAATCAGCACCTCTATGTCACGGGGTGTGAGGCAGGAGGGCGCATGTTTGATGAGGTGGGGTGCGAGGCAGGAGGGCGCATGGGGGCCTCAGTGCAGAGAGGTCGAGTTGTGTCGATAAAGTTGATGAGGGTGATGAGGGGGATGAGGGTGATGAGAGTCATGAGGGTGAGGAGGGTGAGGAGGGTGATGAGGGTGAGGAGGGTGATGAGGGTGATGAGGGTTATGAGGGTGATGAGGGTGAGGAGGGTGATGATGAGGGTGAGGAGGGTGATGATGGTGATGAGGGCGACGAGGGGGATGAGGGTGATGAGGGGGATGTGGGTGATGAGGGTGATGAGGGTAATGAGGGTGATGATGAGGGTGATGAGGGTGATGAGGGTGATGATGAGGGTGATGAGGGGGATGAGGGTGATGAGGGTGATGATGAGGGTGAGGAGGGTGATGATGGTGATGAGGGCGACGAGGGGGATGAGGGTGATGAGGGGGATGTGGGTGATGAGGGTGATGAGGGTAATGAGGGTGATGATGAGGGTGATGAGGGTGATGAGGGGGATGAGGGTGATGAGGGTGATGAGGGTGATGAGGGTGAGGAGGGTGATGATGAGGGTGAGGAGGGTGATGATGGTGATGATGAGGGTAATGAGGGTGATGATGAGGGTGATGAGGGTGATGGTGAGGGTGATGAGGGGGATGAGGGTGATGAGGGTGATGAGGGTGATGAGGGTGATGAGGGTAATGAGGGTGATGAGGGTGAGGAGGGTGATGATGAGGGTGAGGAGGGTGATGATGGTGATGAGGGCGACGAGGGGGATGAGGGTGATGAGGGTGATGAGGGTGATGAGGGTAATGAGGGTGATGATGAGGGTGAGGAGGGTGATGAGGGTGATGAGGGGGATGAGGGTTATGAGGGTGATGAGGGTGATGATGAGGGTGATGAGGGTGATGATGAGGGTGATGAGGGTGATGAGGGTGATGAGGGGGATGAGGGTTATGAGGGTGATGAGGGTGATGAGGGTGATGAGGGTGATGAGGGTGAGGAGGGTGATGATGAGGGTGAGGAGGGTGATGATGCGTGCAGCAGACTCGGATGAGGACGAAGAAGCAGGGAGCTCTAGTGAGAGCGGGGGGGATGAATCCCACGAGAGGCGCAAGGGGGGAGCACCATGGGAGCAGAGCGGGAGTGAGAGCGGGGAGGAGGATGACGAGGAGGAGGAGGAGGATGAGTAGAAGTAGTAAGGGGGGGGTTAGGGGCTGGAGGAAGGCAGGGAGCTTTGCTCACGGGGAAAGTGGAGGAGGATTAGGAATAGTAGGGGGGGGGGCGGTAGGGGCAGCGCGATAGAGGTAGGGAGCTCTACTCACCTCTTTTATGGCGAATCTGTTGTCGTAGTCAGTGCAGTATGCCTCAGGGATAGTGCCATGCAGTTTTTAGACTCATTAATAAAAAATTTGTGACTGGAGTTCTCGAACAAAAAAACGGCGTTTTTTTCAAAAAAAAGCCGTATAAAACGATCGTATTAAACGGCCCGTTTAAAACGACCATCGTTTTTTTGCGCCTTGGTGATGAGGGCGACGAGGGGGATGAGGGTGATGAGGGGGATGTGGGTGATGAGGGTGATGAGGGTGATGAGGGTTATGAGGGTGATGAGGGTGATGAGGGCGATGAGGGTGAGGAGGGTGATGAGAGTGAGTGATCTATGGAACACCTGATGTGTTTTCCGGCCGCCCTATTCCTCACGTGAGGAGTCTTTTTTTGAGGCGGCTCAAAAATTGTTTTCGGCCGCCCTATTCCTCACCAGGTGTGCCGCATGTTCGATGAGGTGGACTACCAGCAGGAGGGGCTGAATGCAGAGCGCTTCCATGCGCTCTATGGCGACCACAGCGATCCTCAAGGCAATGGTAGGCGTGCATGCATGTGGGCATGCATGTGGGTATGCACGTGTGCATGCCAGCAGGAGAGGCTGGATGCAGTGTGGTTCCACGCTCTCTATAGGGACCACTGCAAGGACCAAAGATCTGGTATGCATGCTGCTTGCTTGGTTTATGGTGCACGGTACACACACGACGACATGGCACATCGTACGAGGTGCATGCACGCACATTCCAGACAGAAACCTGCACATCCTTTGGCCGCTACCCCTTGGCGCATGCTGTCCTATTTCAAACTTCTGATGCTTTATTGATATGAGAATGCAATGCAATCCACTCGTCCACGCATTTTTATTTATTTATTTTTTATCTGTCCGACTCATTCTCAAGCTCTTCTTGCTCATTCTCGACCATCCAACGCATCCACCATGCTCTTGATTGCCTGCTGCATCGGCTCACTTTTTCGCATGCCATTTCTTGCCATCCCATGCTCCCCTGCCTCTTCTCTGTCGCTCAGAGCAAAGAAAGTCATCCCGGGGCACACGCCGGGGCCTTGTGAAGGTTCCAAGAATCTTCTGGAAGTACTCTAGTCGCCGGGTGCTGACTATGGAGGTGGGTCAATGCTGAGTTAATTGTTATTCAAAAACCAACTCATAATTGCCGGCTGCTCTGCTGCTGTCTTCGTTAGTTATCTCATAAACCGCCTCGCGCTCTAATTCTCTTCTTCCCTCCTCGCTCCTCTGTTCTTGTGCAAGTTGTGGGTTTTCCGCTTCCACCCATTGCTTGCCGTATGTTCCACCTCTCCTGCTGTGTGCTTCCACCACGCAGTGGATCGACGGCATCAAGCTCACAGGCATCGCGTTCCCGCTGGAAGCCGGCCTCATCCCTTAAGCTGTGTCTAATTTGCTTTGCCCTCCTTTCCTGCGCCTCCCTCTTTCCTGCGCCTCCCTCTCAGTGGATCGACGGCATCAAGCTCACAGACCGTGCAGGCCTGCTGCAAGCCGGCCTCAGCACCCAGTTCGTCGTTGACCTGGTAATCGTCGGTGGGTGTAACTGCTTTAATTTCTGAGTATAACGTTCGTTTGATCGTGGCCACACCTCATAAGGCACACATCTAGTGCTCATAAGGAGGTGAACTGCATCACAAGCTGCATATATATCTGTGGTGCATAGTTATCTGTGTGTAATGAGTCGATTTTTTAGTCGACTCAAAAATCGACTCATTACGCATAGCTATGAGCGGCCGCAGGTTGCTCACCTGTGTCGGAAAAAGGAATGTGTCCAGATGGATCAAGAAGCGAAAAGGACAACTCTGGATGAAGCTCCAAATCTCCGTACAAATACTTCGTCCGTCATATATTTCCTCGACTCCTTCCTCCCCCTACCCCACTAGTTAGTTTCTCCTCCTTCTTCCCCCCTCCCCCAACAGAGCGTGCTTTCCTCCCAGCGGCAGCTCCTAGAGGAAGGGTTCTTCCTCTCACCCCTCGAAACGGTGTGACCAAAACCTCCCTTCCCCCTCCCTCCCTCCGCCTCGCCCCTCCTCCCATCCCCCAGGGCGTCCTTTCCTCCCTGCGGCAGCTCCTAGAGGAGGGTTTCTTTCATGCCGACCCGCATCCGGGCAATCTGGTGGTGACACGTGGCGGCCAGCTGGCGTACTTTGACTTTGGCATGATGGGCGAGCTGCCACCTCAGCAGCGAATCAGCATCATCCGTGCCGTGAGTGAGCCAATCGTGATGTAACCCTTATGTCTTCTGGCTTATGTCCATTTCCTCTCACCCCTGTTAGCATGTAGCTCATTCCAATGACCACCTCCCTGGGTGCCAACGAGCACTGCTTTCATCCCCTCATCACTCTCCCTTATCCCCTAATTTTGAGGCGCCTCAAAAATAGACTTCTCTCCCTTATCCCCTAATTTTGAGGCGCCTCAAAAATAGACTTCTCTCCCTTATCCCCTAAGTTGACTCCAAGCTTACACGTCAACCACGGCGCCCAGGGCGTGACCCCCACAACTTCCACGCGCTGCACTTTCGTCCGCCTCATGCTGTGGCTCGGAACTTCCTTCCCCGCCCTCTTTTCCCCTCCTCCGTTCAGGTGGCGCACCACATCAACCGCCACGCCCAGGGCCTGGCAGACAACTTGGTGATTTTTTAGTCGACTAAAAAATCACTCAAAAAACGACTCTAAAATCTCCCCTCCTCCATTCAGGTGGTGCACCACATCAACCGCCACGACGCCCGGGGCCTGGTGGAAAACTTTGGCGCTCTGCACGTGTTGTGCCCCCCGTTTATGCCTCAAGACATTCCTGCCCCCCCCCCTCTCCCTCCGCCCAGGTGGTGCATTACGTGAACCGCGACGCCCAGGGCCTGGCGGAGGACTTCCGCGCGCTGCACTTCGTCCCGCCCGACGCACACACAGCGCCCGTCGCTGCCGCGCTCAAGGACGCGTTTCAGGAGCCAGGGGCCAGGAGGGGAGAGGGAGGGGAAGCGGGGGGGGAAGAGAGTGGAGGCGGCACTGGCAGCACGAGCGGCATGGACTTTCAGGTGCGCTGTGCGCATTCTGTACTTGTGAGCTGCACAGTCCTGTGTCTTTCCACCTCATGCATGTCGTTGTCTGGTCCCCTCCCCAATGCCTCCCTCTATTTATGCGCTCTCTCTCTCTCTCTCCTCCCGTCTGTTCATCAGGGCGTCACCCCCCCCCCCTCTCGTCAGACTTCTATCGCCTCCTCTTCACCCTTGTTGCTCCATCCCATCCCATCCCATTCCATCCCATTCCATTCCATTCCATCCCATCCCATTCCATTCCATTCCATTCCATCCCATTCCATCCCATTCCATCCCATCCCATTCCATCCCATTCCATTCCATTCCATTCCATTCCCATCTTTTCCCGTGCGCTTTCGTCCCTCACCACGCCCCCTCCAGGGCGTCATCCTCCGCCTCTCCTCAGTCATGTACCGCTTCCGCTTTAGCCTACCGCCGCACCTCTCCCTCGTCGTCCGTGCACTTGGGAGCCTGGAAGGCACGGCAACAACACTCGACCCAAACTTCAAGGTCAGGCCTGTAATGATGGAGGTTGTGATGGTGGGAACAGGGGCGGTGGGTGTAGTGATGGCGCGAGTAGTGGTGGTGGGTGGGATTTGTCGTGGTGGGAGAGAGTACTGGTAAGAGTGGGAGTTTAGTAGCTGTCCCTTGACTTGACTTGCCCCCTCTCTTCTCTTCGCTGCTCCTTCAACCAGGTGGTGGCAACGGCCTACCCCTTCATCATCGCTCGCCTCCTCTCAGACCCCTCACCCGAGATGCGGGCCATTCTGCGCCAGATGCTGCTGTGGCCCGACGGCCGGATAAGATGGCAGCGCCTGCAGAGACTGGTGAGTTTCGAAGATGGTGCTGCGTACAATACAACCATTCTCCCTCCTTTCACTGGAAATGTGAGCCATTCTGCGCCAGATGCTGTTGTGGTGGGATGTAAGATGGCAGCAGCTGTGGCGACTACGTGAAGTGAAGTAGATGGCACATTGAGGGTAGAGTAGAACTGTGCACTTTGTTGCTCTCTGACCCCTCACCCGAGATGCGGGCCATTCTGCGGAAGATGCTGCTGTGGCCCGACAGCAAGATAAGATGGCAGCCTGTGCAGCTACTGGGGAGCTTGAGGCGTCTCAAGTAGGTGCTGCTTGTGTGCTAGAAGCTGGCCCTCACGGTCAGCAGGTGATGCTGCTGTGGCCCGCTTGTAGGATAAGACGGCGGAGCCTGCAGCAGCTGGTGAGTGGAGTCAATGGCCCGTAACAGACAGGGCTCCACATTTTTTGGTAGCGAAGTTTTGGGACATTTTCTCTAAATCATTATTACATGGCTGGCCCCTATCAGGCAGGACCAGTGTAGTGAAGCTTTGAGATTTTTTGTCTAGAAACTAGATTATTGTAACAGGGCAGGCCCCTGACTGACAGGCAGGACTAGAGTAGCGACATTTCGAGGCGTCTCAAAACTAGATAATGATCACCCGGCTGGCCCCTGACAGGCAGGACCAGTGTTGCAACATAATAGCGAGCCACTCCCAACTCGCGAATGGCCACTCCACTCCCCTCATCCCCGTTCCCGATAGCCTTGTTCCATGTTCTGTCCTGTTCTTTCCTCCTGCACATATTTAATCACCTCACCCAGTCACTTCAACCCATCACCAAGCTTCCACCACTCACCCTCCTTCCACCCACCAACATCCTTCCACCATCCCTTTCAGGCGTCGGTCCTCTCCAAGCCATCACCGCCCCCCTCCAATGCTGCAGAGAAGAGGCGGGGAATTTCGAGGCGCCTAAAAAATCTTGTCATCTCACCACCCTCCTTCCGCCCGCCTCCATCCTTCCACCATTTCATGCAGGCGTCGGTCCTCTCCAAGCCATCATCGCCCCACTCCAATGCTGCAGAGACAGGCACTAGAGCAGACGAGGAGGAGGAGAGAGCGTTGGGCAGGGAGCAGAGCGTGGGGCAGCAGAGGGACAAGCGGAGAGAGGGAGCGGATGAGGCAACCTCTGAGGCAGCGGCTCAAAGGTCGCAGCAGAGGGACGAGGTACGGGAGGGCGTGGATGTGACCAACCAAAAGCCACGGCAAAGGGACGATCTGAGAGAGGGGGTGGATGAGGCGGCGGTGGTGGCAGCAGCAGGGGACTTCGTGGCGTATGTGATGTCGAGAGATGGGAGCAGCACCAGAGGGTGGCTCGTGAGAGATGCTGTGAGCGCAGGGCAGCGATGGGTGGAGGTGAGCCTTGGGTCGACTCAAGAGGTGCTTGAGCAGCGATGGGCGGAAGAGGGGATGGTGAGAAGGAGAAGGGAAGAGAGGGGAGGGGAGGGAGAGGTGAGGCGGGAGGAGAGGGGAGAAAGAGGAGGGGAGGGAAGAGCAAGCAGCAGCAGCAGCAGTGCGATTGGGTCGGCATTGGATGGTGTGGCGGGAGTGGCAGGCACGACAGCACAACAGCAAGACACCAAACTCAGCAGCAAAACACACGACACCAGATCCAGCAATCGGAAAGAAGAGGTGGGGGGTAAAGATGGATGCGGGCTGGGGCCCACTGACGAGAGAGGGGAGGGGAGGGGAGGGGAGGGGTTTATCTTTCGCATGCCCCAATAGCTTGCGGTCTCTCTCCACGGTTCGGCCCATTACATTGTGCTGCTATCAGCATTTTCGCTTCCATCATGCCTCCATGCCTGCCTGCCTGCATGCCGGTCCTTCTTTTCATATCCGTTTCCCGTTTGTGCGTCATGAAGTTACACCATCCACCATCCACCATTCACCATCCACCATCCACCATCCACCATCCACCATCCACCATCCACCATCCACCATCCACCATCCACCATCCACCACCATCCACCATCCATGACGTTGATTCTCTGAACCCTACACCCGCCCTTTCTCCACTTGCGACGCCACCTATGCTCATGCACACCACCCGCGCACATGTGCGCACACATGCATGCATACGCTGGCAGCAGCGGTGCAGCGGGTGCTTTCTTCTGATTCGTTTCTTGCTCACGTATGCCCCCACCTCTCCCCGTCCAGGCGCCCCCTCAGGCTCCCCCTGTTGACCCCCTGGGAGCGCTGGGAGCGCTGGTAGCAGCGGTGCAGCGCGCACCAGAGCTGTGGGTGCCGCTGCTGGTGGAAACAGCAGGGAGGGCGGAGGCGAGGGAGATGGCAGGGAGTGTGGTGCGAGGGGTGGCTGGCGCTGCTGCTGACTCTGCTGTGGAGGGGGCTCTGTTAGCAGTGTCACACTGGCTTCACTCCAAGTAGAGGGCGGAGGCAGGGGGGGAGAGGGGTTTCTTTCCCTGTTGCTGACTCTGCTGCGGAGGGGGCTCTCCTATCGCTCTCACACTGCCTGGACTCCTTCCAATAAGGTTTCGAATGGTGGAGTCGACTGAGAAGTGCGGCTGCTGCTGGTGCAGACCGCAGGGGGGAGGAGCAAGGGCGATGGCAGGGAGGGAGGAGCACGGGCGGTGGCAGGGAGGGTGGTGAGAGGGGTGGCTGAGAGCACATTGCTTGGGGTGAGGGGTGGTGAGAGCGGTGGCTTCACCCTCTATTTACTTGGGGTGCGAGTCGGTGTCACGGTGGTTCAACTCACTAAAATCGAGAGCACTTGACTTTCCAGCTGACTCAGAAGTGCCGCTGCTGGTGAAGACAGCAGGGAAGGCGGAGGCGATGGAGATGGCAGGGAGGTTGGTAGAGGGGTGGCTTCTCAGGTTGCTGACTCCGCAGAGTGCTATGGTAGCATTGTCACGATGGGTCCGCTCCAGGCAGAGAATGGTGCTGTGTGGAGGCAGCAGGAAAGGCAGAGGCAGGCAAGTAGGAGTTGGCAAGGAGGAGGGGAGGTGCCTGGCTATGTACTGAGGGTATGTTGTTATCCTCACGTCCCAATTGACTGGCACTGCCAGGTACAAATGCTTGATCTCGCGGTGCAATGCGGTACAGCGTGGTGCGGCTCAAATTGGGACACAAGGCCTTCAAGACGCGAGTATAGGTTTGTACCTACCCTGAGTCTGCTTTGGAAGGGTCTCTAGAAACAGGGTCACTGTTAACTAGTTAGTATTGGGCCATGCTTGGGACAGAGTGTACGTAGTGGACTAAAGAGCGTAGTACCTGGTCCAATGTTCAAACATTTGCCTGGTCTTCATAGTTGCACAAGTATTGTGAAGAAAGAGGGAGCTGTTGGCATTACAATGCATGTGTAAGGAATTTTATTCCTTACCGGGTTGTACTGCAATCGCGTACACCCGAACTCTCGGAAGATCAGGCTGATAGAATACTAGAATGATTAGAAATGAGAGAGAACAAGGGAGATATAGAGTTTGGGTTGTACTCTCTAAGGACACATTGTTAGATGACTAGAATGATTGAAACAAGGGAGTACAAGAGAGATTTAGTGTTGGGGTTGTACCCACTAAGTGTCAAATATATATTGTATGTTTCTGTAAACTATATAGAGTTGTGCCTTAGGGAGAACAACACATTAGGTTATATTCCATTGTATGCCTTGTTCTAGATATTCTTTCACTTGGACATGGTATCATGAGTAGGTAGGTCCCCCCCCCCCTTCCCTAGGGCTTCCGCCCTAGGTCCTAGCCGCCTCGTTGCCCCGCGCCCCATCACCTAGCGGCCCCGCGGCCCCGTCCCCTAGCGGCCCCGCGGCCCCGTCACCTAGTGGCCCCGCGGTCCCGTCCCCTAGCGGCCCCGCGGCCTCGTCACGTCGTGGCCCCATCACCTCGTGACGCGACCTGGCGCGCTGCCTGCATTGAGGCCCAGCTTCGTGTGTTTCAGCCCCCAATCTGCTCTACCCTCTCCCTGCTTGCCACCCGCCTCCCTGACCGCCTTGCCAACGCCCGCGATCACTTCCTTAGTCTCCACCCCGCTGTCCTCACCCTCACTGACTTTGTCGACACCCTGTCTGCCGTAGAGACCCGTCAGCACTCTATCGCCCAGTCTAGCGGTACCGTGCCAGCCTCAATGATTCAGGGCTGTGCCCCTGCTCAGTGCTCTTACTCTGACGGTTCTGCTGCGGTTACTGAGACAGCTCCGGTTGTGGAGACAGCTGCCGCAGTGCAGTTTCGTCTGGGTAAGGGTCGCCGCCCCAAGGCTGGGCCGGTGGTGGAGGTGGCTCGCCCGGAGTAGTACTAACGAGGGGGCTGGGACTGGTGCCCCGGAGCAGCAGCCCCAGAAGCAGCAGCAGGCTCCACAGCTGGACCAGTAGCAGTAGCAGCAGCAGCGGAGGGTCGGTCGTCTCCCGCCCGGGTGGCCTGGAGCTGAAGGTGATGGTGGTCGCACTTGTCGCACGCGCGGCGTGTTGTCAGGTGGTAGTCAGAGTGACGGGCACTGCCAGTACCAGCTCTAGACCGGTCCTCGCCGCGGCCTCGTGTGTGGTAAGATCGGTCATACCCTCGCTCATTGCTTTTGTTGCCTAGACAACCTGTTTCGTCTCCGCTTCGGCCCGTCGCTTGACCTCTCCGATTGGCACAGTCTACTCCGTCCTCGTGTTCAGATCTTTGATATGGACATGGATGAGATTAGCTCTGCTTTGTATGCGCTGTATGTTGATGACTCTAGTGTGACTGGTTCCTATTACCCTCTGTTGCCCAGCGTAGGTGTGCCCAGTGTACCTAGTTCAGGCTCCCTTGCTACGTCAGGCGTAGGATCCCCTGCTTTGTTTAGCCTAGGGTCCTCCCTCGCTCCTCCGACCACTATCGCCGCTGCCGCGCTCTCCTTGACCCTGGACTCCGGCGCTACCGACCGGTCCATTCCTGTCTCGAGTCTGTCGGCTCTTGTCGCTGCTGTCACTGACTTCGCAGCTACCCGCCACCTGGACTACGCCACCGCTCTAGTCTCCGACCCTGCCTCCCCTCCGACCATCGGGGGTGTGGCTGCTCTTGGCAGTGACGTCCTAGAGGACAGGTAGTTCGAGCTCGATTTCCTGTCTGAGGCCGCTCCCCATCTCTGTTCCATGCTACTATTCCCTGAGGGTGACCCAGACGCCCTCGACATCCCGACCCCTCGCACCTACGCTGAGGCTACCTCGGGACCCTGTGCCTCTCAGTGGATAGCTGCCATGGAGTAGCGTCTTGGAGATCCACCGGTACCTTCGTCGACGCAGTTCCCCCACCTGGGGTGAACGTAGTCGATGGCCGATGGCTCTTCAAGGTGAAGCTCCCTCCTGGAGAGCCACCTGTCTTCAAGGCGCGCTACATCGCTCGAGGCTTCAGTCAGCGTGAGGGGGTGGACTTCTTTCAGACCTTCGCCCCGACCCCGAAGATGACCACTCTTCGGGTGCTGCTTTACGTAGCAGCACAGCGTAACTACGAGCTGCACTCCCTTGACTTCTCCACAGCTATCCTCCAAGGCAGCCTGCCTTGCAGTTCTACTTGCGCCGCCCCCAAGGCTTCTCTGGTACCATCCCCCTTAGCACCGAGTGGCTCCTCTGGCGCCCCGTCTATGGCTTGCGACAGGCACCCCGTGAGTGGCACGCTACACTGCGTGCTACACCTGCTGACTTGCAGTTCTTCCCTTCGTCTGCAGACCCCTCACTCTTCGTCCGTTCCGGCCAGACTCCGTTCTACATCCTTGTCTACGTAGATGATCTGGTCTTAGCTACTGCTAACAGAGACACACTGGCCACCGTGAAGGCCGAGTTGCTGAGGAGACACACCTGCACTGGCCTAGGAGAGCTGCGCCGCTGCCTTTGCCTGCAGATCTCCAGGGACAGGCAGCGAGCACCATCACTCTCTCACAGTCACACTTGGTGCGCCAGGTCCTTCAGAGGTTCGGCCTTCTATTCTCTTCCGCACAACCCACCCCTCTGTCAGTAGACCACAGACTCTCTGCTCCAGTCCCGGAGGAGGCTGTGGAGCCTAGTGGTCCCTACGTAGAGCTGGTGGGTTGCCTCATGTACCTGATGAGTTGCACTCGTCCAGATCTCGCATACCCTCTCAGCATCCTGGCTCGCTTTGTGGCCACCGGCAGACACCGACCACAGCACTGGTCGGCAGCTAAGAGGGTTTTGCGTTATCTTGCAAGTTCATCGGGCATGGGGCATCGGGCAGGAGGAAGTAGACCAGGGGACCTTGCCGGGCACACAGACGCTTCTTGGGAAGACGACGCCCAGACTCTCACGTCCTCACAGGGCTACTCCTTTAGCCTTGGTGCATGTGCCATCTCGTGGAGGTCCACCCGTTCCTTGTCTGTTGCCCACTCTAGCTGTGAGGCTGAGATCTACGCAGGTGCCATGGCGGCACAGGAGCTCCGCTGGCTGACCTTCTTGCTCACCGACTTGGGTGAGCGGCCTAGCTTTGCCCTGGTTCTGTACGCTGACAACAGGGCCATGATCCTCCTGTGTCAGGAGCCACGACTTGAGGGCAGAGCGAAGCACATCCAGCTGCGGTACTTCCTCCTGCGCGAGCTGCAGCAGCGTCGCCAAGCTCGTGTAGTACACTTGGCCTCAGGTGCCAACACAACTGATATCTTTACTAAGGCGCTTGCGCCTAAAGATCATCAGCGGCACTGTGTACATTAGGGCACGTTCCTGTAGCCCCTCACTTGCTAGGACCTTGATTGTGTACAGACCTTTATATATATTACCTTGACTGGCTTTGTGGCCACATCCCAGTGGTTGGACTAGTAGTGCCACCCTGGTCTTGATCTTGCCTTGTCTGTACTTGTTTGACTGGTCTTTAGACCCCTGCCTCTGAGGCTGGACTAGTAGTGCCACCCTGAGTTGTTTCTCTCTCGTCAGGCAATGCCCCTATCAAGTCTAGGGGGTGTGTCAAACATATATTGAATGTTTTTGTAGACTATATAGGGTTGTGCCTTAGGGAGTACAACCCATTAGGAAATATTCCCTTGTATGCCTTGTTCTAGATATTCTTTCACTTGAACTCTAGGAACATACACCTATCTAGCTTATAACTTCTACATAGCATCATATGTATAAGTTGACACACCCCCTAGGCTAGAAAAGGGGTAGTGCTGAGCAAGAAACAAGCAGCTTAGGGCGGGACTACTGGTCCAACCACTGAGGCAGGGGTCTGAAGTCCAGTCAGCAAGAGCAAACCAGGGTGGCACTACTAGTCCGACCACGGGAAGAGCAGCCGCAAGGCCAGTCTGGAGGGTATAAATATGCAGGAGTACACAATCAAGGTCCTAGCGAGTGAGAGTCTACAGGAACTAGACCAAACGGCAAGCAGTGCCGCTGATGATCTTTAGGCGCAAGCGCCTTAGTAAAGATATCAACTGTATTGGCACCGGAGGCCAAGTGGACTACGCGAGCCAGGCAACGCTACTGTAGCTCGCGTAGGAGGAAGTACCGCAGCTGGATGTGCTTCGCTCTGCCCTCAAGTCGAGGCTCTTGACACAGGAGGATCATGGCCCTGTTGTCAACGTATAGGACTGGGGTAGAGCTAGGCAGCTCACCTAAGTTGGCAAGCAAGAACGTCAGCCAGCGGAGCTCCTGTGCCGCCATGGCACCAGCGTAGATCTCAGCCTCACAGCTAGACTAGGCAACAAACGAGGAGCGAGTGGACCTCCACAAGATGGCACCCGAACCAAGGCCAAAGCAGTAGCCCTGGGAGGAACTGAGGGTCTCAGCGTCGTCTGCCCAAGAAGCGTCTGTGTGCCCAGTAAGGACCACCGGATTGCGTCCTCCTAGCACTAACCCCATGCCTAATGTACTTGTAAGATAATTCAAAATCCTCTTAGCGGCCGACCAGTGATGTGGTCAGTGTCCGCCTGTGGCCACAAAGCGAGCCAAGATGCTAAGAACGTATGCGAGATCTGGACGAGTGCAAGTCATCAGGTACATGAGGCAACCCACCAGCTCTGCGTAAGGAACGCTAAGCTCTGCTGACTCCTCAGGAACTGGAGCTGAGAGCCTGTGGTCTACTGGCAGAGGTGTGGGCTGTGCAGAGGAGAACTAAAGACCAAACCTCTGAAGGACCTGGCGCACCAAGTGTGACTGTGTGAGAGTGATGGTGCGCGCTGCTCTATCCCTGGAGATCTGCAGGCCAAGGTAGCGCCGTAGCTCTCCTAGGTCAGTGAAGGTATGTCTCCTCAGCAGCTCGGCCTTCATGGAGGCTAGCGCGTCTCAATCTGCAGTAGGGAAGTCCACGTTGTCTACATAGACAAGGATGTAGAACGGAGTGTGGCTAGAACGAACGAAGAGCGAGGGGTCTACAGAGGACGGAAAGAACTACAAGTCAGCTAGCGTAGCACGCAGGGTGTTGTGCCACTTACGAGGCGACTGTCGCAGGCCATAGACCGGGCGTTGGAGGAGCCACTAGCTCCCAGGAGGGAAGGTCCCTATGAAGCCTTGCGGTCGGCGGAGGTAGACCTGCTCGTGTAGACTG